TCTACGTTTTTCAGTTTTTGATCAGCATTCCGTGACTCTTAAATTCAGCTAAATGAACTCAATTGCCTCATTCCTTCAAATTTAATCAATCCATAGTGTAAGGAATAATTTATTTCCAGGAAAAGGCAAACGGCTGATCATTTGTCACGTAGGTAGTGAAGACGGCTTTGTTCCCGAAGCACTGTGGGCCTTTGAATCAAAAAAGACAGGGGACTATCATGAGGAGATGGACGGCAATTACTTTGAAAATTGGTTCTCCAAAATGTTACTAAAGCTGGAGAATAACGCTGTTATTGTACTGGATAATGCCCCGTACCATTCTAGAAAAATAGAAAAAATTCCCACAATGGCAACTAAAAAAGCAAACATACAACAATGGCTGGCCTCAAAACAGATCGATTTTGATGAAACAATGGTCAAGGGTGAATTGATAAGTATAGTCAATAGAAATAATTACAAATACGATTTTAAAATGATCGACGAAATGGCCAAAAAACAAAATAAAACTGTCTTGAGACTGCCACCCTACCATTGTGAGCTGAACCCTATTGAGCTGATTTGGGCCAATATAAAGCAATACGTGGCGTCGAATAATAATACTTATAAATTTTCTGATGTTAAAAATCTCTTTCACATCGCAGTCAATAGAGTTACGGCAGAGGAATGGAAAAACTGTATCCGCCACGTTCGGGAGAAGGTTGAGGTCAAAATGTGGGATTTGGACAATATCATCGATACCCAAATTGAACCTCTAATAATTCATTTAAACGATTCAGAAGATTCAAGTTCCTCTTCTGAATGAGTGCGCGCAGCTTACTTACTAATAACTAAAAAGTGTAGTTAACTCATTTGTGAATCTCTAACTGAAATTTACTGTAAAAGATAATAATTATCTTGTATGAAATTTTTGATGACTACCCATAATATCTTGATGCGGTCCTGTAATGTCTCCTGCGCCTAAACACTCACTCACGAACAATATGCGTGTATTTGTTTGGGTTTAGTTTCTTTCTTCAGCGCCTAGAGTATAAGTGTACAGGCGAACAAGCCTATCAAATCTGTGGTCAAAAACTCTAAACTGAATTTATGGAGGTCGGCGCCCGAGCTACAATATAGTGCTTTTGGGCAGGCTATTACAATTTTGCTATAGATTAATTAAGTTAGTACCGCATACATCAAGCACATAGTTTGTCGGTAATTGTGTATGGGCGCTTTTGTTTGATCTGGAGTGATACACCGCGTCGCCGGTAACTTGATCACGCAGAGGTCCATGCACCATCGAGCGTCCTGTTCAACTAATCAACTATGAAAATTCATTTAGCGGCAAGTTTCTTGTTAATTGTTTACTGCCGCGTGCTTACAGAGTGCAGAGGGTGATAGCAGAAGTAAAGCATGCATTATAAATGTGATGATAGTGCACTGAACCGGTCCCCTCTCCTGATCTCAATGGGTATGTTACGGCTAAGACTCGGAATGCTGTTGACAAGTAGGTTTAGCAGGATATAAACAATATAACCATTTAAACATTTTTTCCGTAACTGTAACTGAACTTTAAAATTTTTAAATATTTTGTTCGGGTAAGAAGATTTAATTAACACACATTATTGAAACATTTATTAGACCAAGTAAGTAATAAAAAAGCAGATGTTTAACATACCCAATAATATACAAAAACTGGGACGATGGGTTATTATATAACAGCTTAAACTTGAATGACATTTAGATAAACACAAAATACCAGCAGATTTACCAAGACACTTTCTACTTCCACACTTGCCTTTAGTGGCATCCTTTATAGCCTTGTCCGCCAGATAAAGATTCTGCATTTTCTATTTGGCGCAGTGATTTGTTTTCGGGCGAAACATTTTCAAAGTATAAAAATGTTGATTCGCGCATGCTGAATTGATTTCCAGAACAAAATTCGGGCACTGTGCCAAACTGGTTGCTCACTTTATATAAACAGTCCTCAGTACATCCAAGTACCCTCCATTGAAACATTTGTCTCCTCTACCTCTATCAACGTGAGGAATTTTGACCCGGGCGGAATCACCTGCCTTGCAAGGAGGAAACTTTTCATTTGACGCAGCTGTTATTTTATTAGCCTATAATACTAAAGAAACTGCCACACCTTTCCTAATATTATCTATTTTCTTTCTTTTTGCAAGTCACACTTTTCACCTCCTTCTGGTAACTAAGATGTCAAACTGTTTTTCTGTAATTTCATTTCCATGGTATTCGATCTCTGTCTTACGTCGATACCGTTATTTTTCAACTGATCTAGAATTTTCTCCAGATCCTCCTCATTCTAGATCTTTTAGATTGTTTCAAGAGGCAGAACTGATGACCTTAATGCAGCTTTAACATCACTACATTGCTTGGTACGGCGATCTTTTAATTCCATGATGATATGCTCCATTTTTCATTATTTGAACGAATCTTAGTCCTTCAGGCCATTTTAGACTATTTTCATCAGTCATCCACACCATAAGCATTTTTTCGACATCTTAATTGGCACGTTCTACGTTACCTCGTGACTGGCTATGGCGCGGCTTCCCATGCACAATCTTTAGACTTGGCCACATTTATGTCAAATTTTCCACAACTCGGTTAATGAACTTCTGAGCATTATCAGATTGCAATATAGATGGTGATCCGAATATGCAAGATATATCCAGCACTACCTTTGATACTTCCTCAGCAGTGTTACTTTGTAAAGGACATAGCTGAACGAACTTTGTCAGGTGAGCCTGGAAACTAGTATGAATTTAAAATTGTCGTCTGGGTTTGTTAGCATGTCTATGGCTACCGGGCATTAGCTCATTAGATAAAATGGGTTTCAAGACAAGATCTTTTTTGATTGAATTTTGTTTCAATTTTTTTTATATCGAAGCAGCAGGCAGAAGCCTAAATGCCGGAACACCGCGGCTGCTATGATGTTCCCAAAGAAATTTGGTTAATACGATTTTTCAACTGCTTAAGGTTAGTACAGGGTGGGGCAAAAGTCACGAAGGGATTTGAAAAATTAATAACTTTTTTAAATTTATTTTGTTTTCATTTTTTTTTTCAGGACCGTGTAAAATAAATCCTGGAGATTAATTATGGAGCGTTACAACCTCAATCAACGAACCAAACTTATAGAATTTTATTTTGAATATCACCATTCAATAATTCAAACTCAACGAGCATATCGTCGTCATTTCAATTTGCGGAATTCGCCCTCTGAATCAATGATTCGACGCTTAGTGGCACGATTTCAGCAACAAGGCACAGTTATGGATCTCCCACGAAGCGGAAGGCCACGTTCCGCAAGAAATGAAGGGAACATTCAACGCGTTCAGGAGAGTGTTCAGGAGAATCCGGAAACCTCAACCCGAAGACGTTCTGCTGAGCTGCAGATGTCTCAAAGGTCTTTACGCAGAATATTAAGAGGAAATTTACATCTGTTTCCATATAAAGTGCAGCTAGTGCAAGAACTAAAACCAGCAGATTTTCAAGAACGACTAACTTATGCAGTTCGCTTGCAAAGAATGGCTCGAGAAGATAATGAATTTATTCATTCTCTGATCATGAGCGATGAAGCCCATTTTCATTTGAATGGCTTCGTAAATAAGCAGAACTGCAGAATATGGGGTACCGAGAACCCAAGGGTGGTTCATCAAAGGCAATTACATCCGCTTAAATGTACAGTATGGTGCGCAGTTACGTCTCAACGAATTATTGGACCATTCTTCTTCGAAGACCACGATGGGAATGCTGTATCTGTAGATGGCGACCGATATCGTGATATGATTCAAAATTTCTTAAGACCAGCTCTTGCTGACAATCAAACGATGACTTTCCAACAAGATGGAGCCACTGCGCATACTGCTCGAGCCACTATGCACCTTCTAAGGCAGATTTTTGGCGAACGTTTAATTTCGAGAAATTCAGGATTCAATTGGCCCGCCCGCTCGCCGGACTTAACAGCCCCTGATTATTTCCTTTGGGGATATCTGAAAGGAAAAGTGTATATTAATAAACCCACAACCCTGCAGCAACTAAAAGATAATATTCGAGCAGAAGTAAGTGCTTTGGGGCCAGATATTCTGACTCGGGTAATGGAAAATGCTCTTGCAAGAGCTGCACTTTGCGAGGCTGAAAATGGCGGTCATTTGCGTGATGTAATCTTTCACACTTAAATTGTAAACAAACTCCAAACATTGCATTTTAGTTTTGTGTTAGGGAAAAAAATTAAAATTAAAATTTAAAAAAGTTATTAATTTTTCAAATCCCTTCGCGACTTCCCCACCCTGTAGATCTGGGAAAAGCTTCCTCTTGTAGATTGTTCTACAATCTCATCACCCGCGGGACAAAGGAGCGGTCGTATCGGCCAGTTCTGGGTGTACGAAGTTCGACACAGTTGGGATGGGACGACAAAGTCAGGCGGGTCTGTCTGGCAGGCACATCGCGCGGCGGCATCATGGAAGACAGCTCTGAGGAGCAAAGCTCGTTGGTGTAGCGGTAGATAGGAGCTAGATGGCCGACGACCCGCCGCTGCGAAAGGGTCCCGACACTGTCTGTTAGAGAAGAGTCATCGATCAGTCGGACCGCCCTCCTCTGGACAGCATCGAGCATGCATAATGTAGTCGGGGCGACAGCTTCCCAAACGTGTGAGCAATGCTCGGAGTTAGGCCTTATCTGGGCCTTGTATAGAGTGAGAAGGTCATGCGGAGAAAAGAACTTCTTAGCCCTAAACAAATAGCCTAGCTTTTTTCCAGCAGCTGCCGCTACTGACAGGATGTGTTTGTGCCAGATCAAGTCCTCGGTGATCTGGACTACGACCAGCCGAAATGAACGGCTCCTTGGCAGAACCCGGTCATCCATCGGAACCGTATGCGCGCTAGGACGCTTTTTGTTCATCAAGGTACATTACTGTGTTTTGGAAGCATTACACTGTACAAGATTGTTTCGTCCCCAAGCAGTGATAACCTCCAGGTCTCGCTAATCTTCTTTTTTCCAGCTCAGCGGCAGGGATCAGCGAAGCTGTGGATTGGGTTGATCGTGCAGGAAAGCAGGTCATTGATATGTAAGAGGATTAGTGTCGGAGCCAAGACCGATCCCTGGGGAACACCCGCGTTGACGTTGCGTGATGAAGAGGAGAACCCGTCAATTACGACGGATATCTTGCAGCTAGAGATAAAGTCAGCCACCCATCTGCAAAGATTTTCTGGGAGGCCATAGGATGGAAGTTTGGTTAAGAGGGCAGCGTGCCACCAGCTGATCGAACGCTTTCGTGATGTCGAGAGGAACGACATGAACCTCACCATAAGACTGGATGAGTTAGGAGGTCCCCTGTGAATCGTTGGTGCCAGAAACTATACTGCCTGTCGCTAATCAAGTTGTGGCGTTCGAGGTATCCAGAAGTTCGCGATTTATGCACCTCTCCGTCACCTTACTTATAACAGAAAGCAGAGCTATAGGCCTGTAGTTGTAAGGGTCGGTCTTAGATCCTTTTTTTAGCATGGGTTGGACATGAGCAAATTTCCAGTTTTCTGGGAAGGTGCTGGATTCATAAGATATCTGGAAGAGATGCGAAAGAACTGGAGCAAGCTCCGCTGCACACCTCTTCAGTACACTGGCAGGAATCATGTCCGGACCAGAAGCTTTGTTGATATCGAGCGTCTTACGGTCTTATGCCTCAATGTTACCTCCCGCATAGTGTAAGGAACCCTTTGAATTGACTGTACTAGGAGTTGGCAGCAAATATCTTGACTAGCACTTCCGCCTTGGCCTTTGTATCGAATACAATCGTTCCATCCTGGCACGTAAGTGGTCGAAGGCCACTGTGTGAGAAATTCTTTTCAATTTGGTTGGCCAGCGTCCAGAAAGACCGACTGCCATTGCGCTGCGATATTATCCTGTGCTTAACTTTTATATCGTACTGGTTTTTGGTATTTCAAACCGCTTCATTATACTTGTTTCTGGACTCGACGACGGCTTGTCTGTTCTCTACAGTGGGGTTTTGTAAGAAGGTTCTGTGTTTTGATCTTCTGCTGTCAAGCAGTATCACATGATCTGTTAAACCAGCCGTTGGACTCTGGTTTAGGCACTTTCACTGTGTGAGGGATATATTCCTCCATTATGACGTGGATAATTTCGGTTATCGAAGAGCAGACAGCCGACGCATCCGCGTCAGAGAAACAGATATCACTCCAAAGAAACCTAGAGAAGAAGTCTCTGAGTCCCTCTCAGTCGGCATGTCCGTAATGCCAAGTTTTGCAGCCTGTGCGAGTTTCTGCTGCCACACCGGGTTCTGACCGAAACCTAACCTCCACAACACCGTGGTCTGAGTTACTCAGGGGGGACAGCATAGCAGTGCTGTAAGAGACAGGATGCGTGGTCAGAAAGAGATCCAACAAGCTACTGGCGTGTGACGAGGCACGGGGGAAGAAAGTAGGGCTAGTCACCAGCTGGGTCAGCCCTTGAGTAAGAGCGAACGCTTCGACTGCACGTCCTGCTGCAACGGTCTTGTTTGAGCCCAACCAAAGCTCATTATGGGCATTGAAATCACCGAGAAGATCTACCTCTGAAGCGGGGTGATTGATGTTTAGAAAGTCGATTTTGACGGCGAGGTATTCGACAGGTCATCCCAGTTATGGTCCAAGGGAGACCGATAAAGGCAGCAAATAAATTTGGGTGACGTTTTGGAGTTGAGGCGCAGCCACAGAATGTCCTTCCGGTCTGATTCCAAATAAGCATCTCTGGAGCAGGGAAGACGGCTGCGGACAAAAGCCACAACTCCCCGGTTCTTTCTCACATTAGAGTACACCTCGTAGTTTGGGAAGTTAAGATGGTTAATCGGTGCAGACTCTGAGATTTTTATCTCCGCCAAGAAAAGCATGGCAGGACGATTTAATTGCAGGTAGTGATGATCAGTATCAATGTTGCTGTTAATCCCGCAGATTTTCGTAAGACAAATTTTATCTACGATGTTGTTCCCTCGAGACCACCCTACACCCGGACATTCCGACTTACACAAAAGAAGATAAATAACAGCCTCCTGAGTGATGTTTGCGTACCTGTTCTTAGCTTGCACAATCATCCTATTTCTCCCGCCGTGTCCAGCGCTCACGTGTATTTCATGAAGAGCTTCGAGAAGGTCTTCATTCTTGAAGTAGTATTTAAGGTCCTCGGTATCTTCGCTATTGGGTAAAGGAGAAAAAACTTCTCGATGTCACATCGAAATGCTTCAAACGGCGATATTGTAAAGTCAAACGCTTCGTGGCTTTTTTGTAGTTTTGACGCCTTCGGTATACTTCAAATACTGTTCATTACTCATATAACGATTATCGCCTTGTTTCGAAGTCAATATGAGCTCAAGCTCTCCATAAAAACTTGATTTTATAGATTCTGATTCTTCGAACATTGCCATCTTAAATCACAATGTGAGCGCGAACACGATACTGTAAAGATATGTACGCATACTAACATGGTGATGATACTATTGATACTAAGCAGAGGGTCCGCCGCCCACAGCGAATGAACGTGCGTTGACGGGCCGCTACCGCGCTACCTGTCAGAACCTGTTTGTGACGCTTACATCTAGTTTTAACCACTAGGGTTCGGCTAGACCTAGGTCTTGCCGGGATCAAGTTGGTGGGACCTAGTTTTAACTAATACTAGGTTGATCCATGAATATATATATATGAACATGTCGTTCTAAATATTTTTAATCCGTTTTAATTTGTGCGTGACATACAGCTGTGTGTATTTTATATTAATTTTGACGAATGTACGAATGTACCATGTATCCAGCTTTCACCAGGTTACTGGGTGTTTTTCTCGACTTAAACTTAATAACATTCAGCAACAATCTCACATACTACTGTAAGTTAATTTAAAATTTTTTGCACAATAGTTGCTATTTCTTCTCAATGTTATTGCAGCTCCTGATGAAGATGGCAAAGTCCATCGAAAACTAGAGACTAATAAAGTATAAAGAGTCCTCATTGCTTGAATTTTGTCGAAGTACCCAACAAAAGGCGGAAGCTTTATTTTTCACCTAACTGGTCTAGACGATAATGACCACCTCTCAAGTTATATATGTATATATATATATATATGGATGCATGTACTAGAACTGTAAATAGACACTGGGATGAGATAAGTCAACACTGCAACATATCTCTAGAATCGTTCACCAACATTATAACATTCCTCTTTCATAACAACTATTTCTCTTTCAACAATAAAATATATTCTCAGACACATGGTTGTCCTGTCTGTTCTATCACCAATTTTGGCAGAATATGTCATGGATGATCAGCTTGATACTGTTATTCCGACACTACCCTATAACCTCTTCTTCATAAAAAAATACGTAGATGACATTATTTTATGCCTCCCCTCCAGAGGTCTGGATGGTATTGTCGGAGAATTCAACAGCTATGACCCCTACATCCAATTTGCCACTGAAACAGAAGATGAGAACCTGTCTGTCCCCTTTCTAGACACAAGACTCATCCGCACCAACAACAACAGCTTATTGGTAGACTGGTACCAGAAACCTATGGCCTCAGGTCGGTTTCTCAATTTTAGGTCATACCATAACCTAGGGATTAAAATCAATTTGGTAAAACAGATGAAAACAAGGGTAATCAGCATCTCAGATAATACTTTCCACACCTCAAATCTACGTAAACTATTAAAACTGTTCATCAATAATGGTTATCCGAAGTGTCTGATTAACAAGATCTTATTTAGTTCACCTTCCAATATTCTGCCGAACTCTGATGATGCAGGTAATAGTCGCACAACCCCTAATAACGGAACTGATGTAATTCCCAACAATAGCATCAATCCAAACAGTACAAGCACCAACTCGGACTCCAGACCTGGTTTTGCTGTCCTGCCCTATATCAAGGAACTGACCCCTAAGCTGATCAGATTGTGCAGTCCTTTGAACTTTCGAATTGCTTGCAAATCCGTCCTCACTATAAACTGCATTTTTTTTAAAATGAAAGACAAAGTCCCGCTGCTTGGCTTAACCAACACAGTCTACTCCATCAATTGCAACAATTGCAACCAAATATACATAGGTCAGATCTCCAGTCTCTTAAAGGAAGGATTACATCACACAAAAGTGATTCTAGGCTTCATCCTGAAAGATGCGCTCTAGCATCTCATGTTAACACAACAGGACACTCTATGAATTACACAAGTATCAAAGTTCTTGATAAAGAAAAACACCTATCCAAACGTTTATTCCTGGAAATGTCCCACATTTTCATGAATGACAACTGTATCAATAAGAAGACAGATTTTAAGCGTTAGGACAGAAACATGACCCAAATGATTGGCGCCTGTTCATTGATTCCTCTAAGCTTAGTTAAAAAACGGTATTGGTACACAACGGTAATAAATATCCACCTGTACCTATAGCGCACGCAGTTCATTGGAAGAAATCATATGAGAATATGCGAGTTCTGTTAGAGCATATCTGTTATAATGAATATGGAGGGGCCATATGTGCAGATTCAAAGTTAATAGGCCTTCTTCTTGGAATTCAACTGGGATATACCCGTTTTCTTTGTGAATGGGACAGTCGTGCACGAGATCGTAATTATGAACAGAAGGAGTGTCCACTACGTCAGGTATTAACTCCGGGCCTTAAAGAAATTGCTCATGAACCACTAGATGATCCCAAAAACGTGTTGCTTTACCTTTGTGTATTAAGTTGGGACTGATGAAATTTTTTGTGAAAGCTATGGATCGAAATGGAGGAGGGTTTCTGCATACATAGACTCATTATTATTCAGAAATATATAATTAAAATTATTTTTAAGGAAGATAAAAGACACTAACAAAATTTTTACAAAGCGCCAGGTTTTTCTGATGGTGTCTTTGTATAATAGTATGACCGATTTATTGTTTTTTTTTTAATAAAAGTCAGGAAAGAAGAAAAGTAATTTTGGGATAAATCTGGTATTTTTTAACAAATGACAATCTGATAATTTCAAGGCCTATCTAGGAAATTTATTTTAAATAACTGAAGTTAGGCAATGTGAATGTATGACGTATTATGGCTTTTTTGGAATAAGAATTAGAAAACCCAATAGGGCATCCATTAGAAAAAATAAGGTTGATGGACAAGAGACGAAGCCTCATATTGAAATTCTAATTATGATATTTTGTAGAGGAGAAAAGTGGCAATATTAATGTGCAAGTTATTTTGAAATCCCCTACAAATAAAGTCAGGACAAAATTAAAATCATTGTGAGAAAACTCGGTTTTTGGAAGTACTTTGAATTTCGAAACGTTTTAAGCGGCATTTTGTTGTTGTACCTAAATACTTACGCAACTTTATCCCCATTTAAGCGACTTCGCATTCCTTATAGATTCCGAGATCCTAATGGTGAAGGTCGAATTAGAAACACCCTATATAGAAAGCGCCAAACTAGTTATTCGATATCATAAATACTCAAAAATAAATAAATCAAATAAAAAATACAATTCAAAAATAAGGTTTTATTTAGTTGTTCATAAAATGAGCTAAAAATTGAAAAATAATATTTCTCATTGGAAATACTTAAGCGATAATAAAGCTCATTCATCCCAAGTTTTCAAATAAAAGCGTAATAGGTTTCGGCAGTAGGGTGGAAAAAGGGTGTATGTACCACGCTTTTATTTGAAAACTTAAGATAACGGAGCTTTATTATCGTTTAAAGATTTCCGATTGGAAAAATTATTTTGAAATGTTCAGTTCATTTTATGAACAGCTAAATAAAACCTTGTTTTTAAAAATGTATTTTTTTTATTTTAGTTATCTCATACGTATTCAAACATTAAGAAGTTGAACTGACATATTGAAGTTGGCATGATGAACTTTTAAATGGCATCCATGATTTATCTATGTATTTTATCGTTAGGATATAATCTGTAGGGACAGATAAGCTACGAGAGATGTCTTTTAAGTTTTGCATATGGAAATAAAACAACACGGTAGGTAGTCTTAAACGACTATTGTTTGTCGAAGTATTCTCCACGTAAATTAATACACATCTGCATGCGTTCGTACCAATTTCGAAGTACTCGTACTTATTCCACTCCATTTGCTGTCAGATCCAAAACGGCATTTTTGAATGCGTCAACTGCTTCTTCTGGTGACTGGAACCTTTGACCACGCAGTCTGGTTTTAATTTTCAGGAAAGTAAAGAAATCGTTAGGACTTATATCGGGACTATATGGAGGATGGTCCAATAATTCCACGTTTTCTTCCGTTAAATACTGCCTTGTTTTTTGGGCTGTGTGCGAGCTTGCATTGTATTGGTGGAGGATGATTCTTCTTTCGGGATTGTTTTTTCGAAGCTCGGTGATGACTTTTGGCAAACAAATGGTGGTATACCGATCCGCAGTAACAGTTTTTTGCTCATTAAGAGGAATTGTTGCAATATGCCCCGCTTTTGACACAAATGTCGCGACCATCGTTTTCGAAACACATCGAGTACGGATGACTTTTGTCTTTGAGATCTTCAAGGATGCCTCAATCTCGCGATATGTCACATGTCTATTTTCAATGATGAGTTTGCGCACAGCATCGTCGTTTTCCTGGGTGACTGCCGTTTTTGGTGCACCCACCCTGGGATCGTCGCTAAGGCCCGTATCGTCAGTCATCCCTACAATTGTAGGGCGCCCTTATGGCCTCCTTGATTGTCATAGTTTTCTACTTCTCACTGTCAGCGCTCTATTTTGAGGTTTTCTCACAAACATCTATTTGCATCAAATTGTGCTTGCTTTTGAGTTGTATCATGTTTTATCAGCCTGAAATTTCCTACAATTTAAAAAGAAAACATATCTTCACAATAGGAGAGCGCTGACGCTGACACGGGACAAGTGTAATCTAGAAATTTTTGAAGGAGAGAAAGGAGTATGACAATCAAGGAGGCCATAAACGCGCCCTACAATTGTAGGGACAACTGACGATACGGGCCTAAGACTCACCCGTCCACGTTTGAATTCTCCATACCAATGGGAAACTGTCGACTGATGTGTCGCTTCGTTGCCGAAAACAGACAGTAACTCAGCAAGGCATTCTAGTTGCGATAATTGTTTCTGAAAGTTGTAATAAATTATGGCGCGAAAATGTTCTCGGTTGAGTTCCATTTTTCTAATGACTTGGTGACACTCAAAAATTCACTGTAGTGAGAACACTGCACGTATTGTTGTGAAACATTGAATTTAAGTTTACTAAAGAGTAAGGTTAAGATTTAGTACTGACGTTCGATCCGCGCGGCCTACTATGTTTCTATAAGCAAAACTTAAAAGACATCCCTCGTATTTCTCAATAGGGCACTGCATCCGAAAAGAGTCATTTGTCGCAGTAGCAGTAGAAAAAGTAATTGGTTTTGTGCGGAAGATGAAAGCATTCAAGCAACTACTAAGTAGATTGGTATTTCTCACCACACCGCGGTTATCAGATTTAAGGGGGCGGCGGTCACAGAGAGCTGTGGCGGCAGTGCGCCGTTGGAGACAGTGACGGCAACCCAGGCGGTCGTTTCCTATTCCTAATGAAGTTTTGGCCTTCTGAGAAGTCTGCGCTACCGTTAAGGCCAAATAATGTCTAGGTAATTTTCTCAGATTTTGTGCTTTTTGACAAACTTCAGAAGAATGAAAGGTCGATATATAGTAGTAGTATTTTTTATCGGTAGATGGAATTTCCGAGTCCGCTCTTACTGCTTTCGGCAACCCGTCTCGCTCCTTCGTCTTTTCTCTTATTTTGGGCTTGGTACCTATACTTGGGAAGTAGAATATGTTAAAATTATAATTTTCCATTTTCACTTAGTAAATTAATAATTACTGAGAATGTGGACATTTGATTTCCAATAATACCATATTACATACCGCCATTATAACGTCAGCGTGTATTGTGAGTTGCTTCTATGTCGAAATTCTATCTTTACGATAGATACTGATAGATGCGTCCTTCTTATTGCATGTTTATTGCAAACATTTCTGTGGAAAAATAGGCCATTAGAAGGTATGTTTAGAATTGTTTTTACTACTAACGATGGTGTATATTCAACATTCAATTTGATTAGACTTTGAAATTGAAACGTGCGGTAATTCTGTTCGAATGAAGCTCGCGAAACGTCTGGATCACAGTATGGTCGTAGGAGACAGACTCTGCTGCTAATGATAGAGTCCAACAAAAAAAAGTAGAAGATGCACTGTTTGTATATCGACACGTCACTTATTTTGAGATACTCCAATTTATCAAATAGAATGTGATTTTCAAGCTGTCAAAATAATGATATAAATATTGTAATGTAGGGTGTCCCAATGTTCCGTAGACATAGAAGTACCGCTTAATTTTAGATTCAAAATAAGTCGTTTGGATATGATTTACCTCTATGCAAAAGTGCTTCGTTTGTCCATTAAAGGGCGTTTTCTTTTTAAAATACAATTTTTAAGATATTTTAAAAATCGATAGTCCATTTTGTAATGAAATTTGGAACAGAAATGTTTCACTAGACGTTCGAGAATGGTGGAAACTATCCCCACCCCTACATAAATTATTGCAAGATCTTTGGCAACTTTCCCGATGACTCTGTTTTTTTTATTTAGTAGCTCTTTTTATTTTTTTATTAATTCTTCAAGTGTAGCTAGCTAAAATAAGCAAGCATTATATTACTCATTAGAATTCTATTTGATATATGCAATAGTGCTAATCTTTTATAAAAGGTGTTCAATATGATCACCACTTTCGTTCCTGCACATAAGAATACGGTGCAAAAAATTATAGGTAATTTTCTCTGAGATGTCATTATTCTTTAGTGTATTTGTACCATTCTGAATCCTGTCCCATAGTTGATTGGCGTTGTCTATCTGAACCTGGTATACCTTTGTTTTTAATGCTCCCTAGATAAAAAAATCACAACGGTTAAGATCCGGGAAACGAGGTGGCCATTAAACTTCTTACATAAAAAGTTCCTCTAATAATTCAGTTAAAACGTATTGTAGAAAATGAAGATAGTTATCGACGTTTAATTTATCAGGCAACCTTTATGGACTAACTAAAAAGTTATCAATAATCCCAATCCAAAAGTTAATTTTAAATTCCCATTGAAAACTTCTTTCTGGAAGTGCAGGCGGATTTTCTTCAGCGTGATGTGTATTATGCAAATTTATCATACTACGTCGGGTAAACTGACTCAGCTGTAATCAAAATTTTCTTTCAAAGAGACCTATGAGCGTTCTGATACATTTTGTACAAATAAAAAATTAATAATCAAAAATAAACTTAAAGTTTACTCATTATTAATTTAAACTTTATGAAGCTTGTTGTCAAAAATAACGTGACACTAACATAACATCCCACATTACCGTCAACTAGATGCCTTCTAGATTTTAACACTTATTGTAATAGGAATTTTTGTTAGGTAAATCAGCTCCGAAAAACATTTTTTTTCTCGGAAACTATACGAGATGCCTAGGATCCTATGTATAAAAAAATTCAGTCTTTGAGAGAGTTGCGAAAAATATCTGTTATATACTAAGTGACATATAAATCCGAACACCCAGTTTAAATGGTTTTATAATAATAATATTTATAATAAGTAAATGATAAAAATTTCAATATGATTGCACTGCTTTAAAGCCCTTTGACCTTTAATAATGTGTGGATGCACCCTCCAACGCGCCTAGGCATGCTTCTGATCAGGTGGTCAATGTCCTCTTGTGGTATCTCATTCCAGGCAACCACCAACTGCTCTCGAAGTGCTTCTAGAGTCTGAGGAGGACGTTGCAAATTGAGCAATCTCCTACCCATCATATCCCACACGTGCTCAATTGGGGATAAGTCGGGAGATCTTGGTGGCCATGGTAACAGTGTGACATCATTATGTTGAAAGAAGTCTATTGTGACTCTTGCAACATGTGGTCGGACATTATCTTGTTGGAAAGTTGGATCTGCCAGGGTGTCAAGATAGGGTAAAAGATGGGGTTCTAGAACTTCGTGGATATAACGCTGCGCGTTCATGTTATCTCTGATGAAGATTAAAGGTGACCTGGAACCATAAGCTATAGCACCCCAAACCATAACTCCAACAATGTGATGAACATGTCTTTCAACAAAAAACTGTGGATTCCTCCTTTCACCACGTCGCCTTCTAACCCTGGCACGACCATCGTGCATGCCTAAACAAAATCGAGACTCGTCACTAAAGACAATACTGTTCCATTCCCGATCCCAGAGTGACCGTTGTCTGCACCACTCAAGGCGATTACGTCGGTGTTCTCGAGTTAAAGGGAGGACCCAGTGTGGCCGGTATGAAAACAAGCCAAAACTTCTCATTCGTCGGTATACACTTCGCATGCCAATAGGTCTTCCGTGTTCTGCAAAACCATTCATTTGCAATGGACCTGGTAGTGGAGAAACGGTCCCTTAAGGCCAATAATCTTAGGCGGCGATCTTCACGGCCCGTTGTTCTACGGCGGCGTCCAGTGCCCCTTGCTCTTTGCGTACGGCCTTCTCGAAGCCATGCCTGACAACACCTAACCACAGTGTCTACACTTCTTTGCACTCTAACTGTAATTGCCCGAAAAGAAAGTCCAGCTTCCCGAAGTCCCACTATACGGCCCCTATCAAACTCACTAAGTTGACGAAATCGTACAGGTCTCCGTACTCTAGGCATCGTAACCGATCGTAAAGGATGTCAAGAACCAAAATCCGCCAACGTTGATTTTTTACTGCGGCTGAAATATTCATTTTTAGAGCGTTAGTTAATTAAAAAACAGCAGTATAAAACCGGAATGTCCAACTGATAAGGCTGAAAATTTTTTCACTTGTTATTTACAGTAAGATAAATACATTCACCAACTTTTATTAAAATAAAACCATTTAAACTGGGTGTTCGGATTTATATGTCACTTAGTATAATTTATGTGAGAGTGGGCGTAGTTACCACCCTTCCGGGCTTTTTGCAAAAGTCAAATATAAGGACGTTCAAGCAAAACACGTGTTCTAAATTTCATTCAAATCGGGCTATCGGTTCCAAAAATGTATGAAAAAATGTGTTTTAAAAAGAAAACTGACGCCCTCTAACGGACAAATGAAGCAGTTTTGGATAGATGTAAATCATGTCCAATACTTCTATGTCCATGGAATATTGGGACACCCAGTATATAATCAACAACAAATATTTCAGTACAATTTAGATTCTATAATTACTTGTAGTCAGCAATAATTGTTGGAAATATCCAAAAGTGGGTAAAGGACTTATGACAATTCTGTACCTAGCCAAAGAAATTCTACGTGAATGCACGCGTTATTCGCTTATAGATATTTTCATTATCATTATTTATCTAGAGGAAGGAATGTTATTGTATACTACCACCACCACAAAGGTCTGAGGCCTAAACACCCATGGGGTACCGTGGGGCTATAGGGGGATACAGGGAAAGGGGGGACGCCACGCGGACTCTGGCAACATGCACAGACTCTGGCCCCGCCTGCGAGATCCGCCGGGTGATACCTCCGCGTTCGACAGTCAGAGACCTTCTACCACCTACGGACAATCACAACATCCACAGCCAAGAGAAAAATTTCTCTTGGGATGGGATTTGAACCCGCGCAGGGCACGGCGACTGATCGGAGACCGAAGAGTCTACCACTGCGGCCACCGCTGACCCCTAACCCCCTCTTTAGAGTAATTCGGTAGATACTGGGGATTATTCAGGTTTTATAATACAGTTATAAATAAACTTAATCCTTATTTAAACCCCCATCTGAGGACACCCCAGAATTATTTTTTCCAGTATAACAACGATACAGAAATGTTTGCTTGAACTCATTTTTTCACTAACCTCTAATTGCTCATACATATACGTATAGTAAAGCACAAAAATGAAAGAGATGATAGAAGCGCTTCACACGCCGCTACTAATGCGGCGTAAGTTTGAGATGGAATACGAAGAATACTGTAATAACATTTAAAAATATGATGATCGCCACCCACCAATGGTTCTCGAAAACCAATTTTTAATCAGGATCCCATACTATGAAAACAAGTGAGATACCCTTACGCCCTCTAGCTCATGTCGTTTGACGTTCTATGATGGTCCGAATACTAGGTTATGACAGAGTAAGCCAGCAATAGCTTTTCTGTGCAAGGGTGACTTTGAAGTTGAGTCATTAATTTTCAGATAATGATGATGATGATAAACCAAAATATGTGTGTAAAAATAAAAAAAAAATAAAAAAAAATGTTACCTTGTTTTATAAAGTATCCTCCCGACAAGTATTTCAGTGCGGACCTGTATTTGATCGTGCGGTCTTGGAGCACCGGCATGCCCTCCCCTGTGAGGTCTTAAGTCACCTGATACACGAGCCCTTTGTACTAACATACATTCAGCATTTTCGTAAACATGTGCCATTTTTTATTTCGTTTGAGCCACGCAACAAACACCACTATTCACTCACGCGTTACCGACTGACACATCGACTCAATACAACTGAATAAAATTGTACATTGTAGTAAAAACATCGTTTCAAATTCTTTCGATTTTTTGTTTCCGATGCGATGAACCGATAAGGCGGTTTATATCCGTTGTTGCCAAACACGAGCACATAATATTATTATTGAGACAGGGCGGTACTCAAACTTCTAAAGGGCTATAACTTTGTTACTTTAATTTTACCAGAAAAATGTTAAAGGAAAAAAACATTTCTTTTGGACATGGAAATGGACATGTGAGCTTTCCCTCTCCTATAATCATGATCATCGCAGACAGCGCCATGTCGTGCTCATTAGCAACTCATAAGTGCGGCATAGGTCTTAGGTCTACTCTTACAAACAGGCGAAATGGAAATCAGTCTTTTGAAAAACTCAAGACATTGTGCGTAAATACGTAAAGAATTTTTTATTGACGCCAACCCCGTAATGCAATATTTTTTCCAGCGAAGCACAAGATCTCACAATAACATGCACTTAAGTGCCCAACAGAAGACTCTAGTATGAAAGAAGGGACTTTAGGAAAATTATTTTGGATTTTCCTGATGAAAGTCTTAAGTACCCATCTAAGTCCTTGCAGTGTACTTTTCACGCGAGAAATACATTTAGATATTCTAAGTTATGATTTTCTGCCATGGAACGGATATTCTCCAGGAACTTTATCATAACAAAATGCCATAAAATAAACATCACGTGAATCTCGAGTGGGTCTTGACTGTGCCGTTTGCAGAAATATTTAAAATATGCATGCGACTTCAGTTCCTATTTCTGATATATACTCTGTTTTTATATGAATCGTTTATCCTGTTAAGATTCTTATTTTGATTCCACTCTCTTGCACAGGAAGTCCATCGATGTAAACTTATGGGTACTTCTATGATCTTCCATTTATTTTTGAGTTGATACACATGCACTATCGACACACTTGTCGTTGTATCTCTTCAAATAAACGTCGTTCTGTTTCTGATGAGTTCAGCGGCCGGTAACTATCATGGAAATATTGTTATAATTTTAACTCAAATACAAGTCCAAATCAATGTTCTGTATTTCCATGTTGCAGCTGTAAAAGCTAATTCTCTGATGTAAATATGATAAAGTGTAGTACATCTGGTTTATGCTGCATCGGGATCAGAAAAGCTGTCTAGTCCAATAATTGTCCAATTCATGTTTGTGCTACATACTGCAAGTGATCGTTTACTACTTACAGCACATTCGTCAAGTAAAACGTGCTGGAGAACTGGATAACCGCGTATCAACCCATGAGTCACTAAAATTCAATCCTCTTACTCGTAGTTTTTTGTGGAAGATAAAATCACAGTAGGTTAGGTACATAGCATTGTTCTTTCGCGTTTATTTGCCATTAATTATTATTCACTGGTCTCTCCAAAACAGTTATTCAGGGAAAACCAAATTTGTTGAATATATTCGTTATTATCTACGCTTAATGGTTTTATTTTGAGCGTACAAATTGTTGAATTGTGAATTGCGTCGAGTCTGTTTAGGATTGATTCCAGATCGGTCCTAACGGCGCTTCATTTTAGGCCAAAATAAAAGGTTAGGATCGACACAAATTCTGCAACATTGCAACCCTGTTCGAGTAACTCCGTATCAGAAGTAGTCTAGAGTCCCGGTAAGTACAGTTAGGCGTATTTTGCAGAATTTGTCGCGATCCAAACAGATTCGACAAAATTCACAATTCCAAAAAGTGGAACGCTCAAAATAGAACCATTATTTGGGCATATTTTCAACATGCATTTTAATTCGAGGAACAGATGTAACATATTGGCAACTCGGCAGACTGCCGCGTCAGCGTTGCTAGGCGACGCGGTGATGAGTTTCGCTATCCAGCCGGCTTCTATCTCTTTCTAGCATATCTGCCTATATACACTTCTCTCGTACTCTTTGATCTCAAGCCGTCAGTCAAATTTAGTTGCCAGTGTTACTGTGAAAGTCCGAAATCCGGTGAATGTCAAGAACGACTAGTGTATGTCGACATTCACCAAGTTGCTCGGCGTATATCCGGATTATTGGTTAAATATCATTATTTCTGACACACTGGCGAATATCAACATTCACCATACGCTTTTGGTGTATGTTCAAAAACATATTTTTCTACATTTCTACTTGTGATCGTTCATGAGTATACATCACACCGACTAGCGGGTTGATGTTAGTTTAAATTTCTAGGGTTGAACATCCGTGGAAATTTTTTGAGTCTCTACTTTGTTATGTGAAGTGTGTATGTGCGTGAATTATTGAATAGTTCACCTGTTTTCGAACTTGTAGCACCTTGCAGGATTCTTTTTCCTTGTTACCTGTGCGGTAAGACTTTTAATCGCCCAACACGTAGATTCAGTTTTGCACATGTATTTTTGTACTTAGCTGAGCAAAAAACACATTCTTCATTTGTTTTCCTAACAGATAGTCCAGGTATATTAGGTCCATGCAATTGTCATGGCACCTGATGTAGATGTCTCTAACTTCTGCGAGGACAATTTCATTGTTAAAACCAAACTTGTCAAATGCAGTTTATGTAGCGGTAAATTCCACTGCCATTGTGTTTCCTTTAAAGATGCTTGGCTTAAAATATTTTCAGATTGTGATAACATCCACTGGGTATGCAGCGATTGCAAAATTGTAATGCAATCAAAAGCGTCTCTTACTAGAATCAGTATTGAATCTATGCAGAGGGAAATTGATCAATTGAATCGTGAAATTAGTATAACTAAGAACCATCTTGATGACTTGCAGTACACAGTGTCCCTTCAAAAATCTGTCATTGACTCTCATGAGAAGATTTCTTCGCCTTCTGTTAGCACTGACCAATCTGCTATCATTCCTGGACCGAGCAAGTACAGCGATATAGTGAAGAGAACTAAAGTAATTTCTTCGACCCTCCTGATTAAGGCTGATAACGAGGCAGATGTGAACTCAATTCTCAGTGAAGTATAGTCTTCTGTTAATCCAGCCAGCCTTAATATTTGTATCAATAATACTCGAAAAATTCGTAATGGTATTGCTGTGGACTGCAAAGATGGCAGTTCCCTGAGCACACTGATAACCTTTGCAATAAATTGGGTTCTAAATATTCAATATCTGAAGCTAAGAAGCTGAATCCACGCCTGCTTATAAGAAACGTTAATTTGGATGGTCTTGACAATCCTGATGATTTGATTTCGAACATAGCTCCTCTCAACAACATTGATGGTTCTCTACTTAAGTTTGTCACTAAGCTCAAATCCTCCCGCGGAATCAACATCGTAATTGAAGTCACTCCTACTCTAAGATCGGAATTATTAAAGACAGGATTTTTATATATTGGTTGGAAAAAGTCACCTATCTCTGATCACTTTCGCATATTAAAGTGTTTCAAGTGCTGTTCGTTTGGTCATTCTGAAGCATCTTGTAAAGCTGATCTGTCCTGCCCAAGGTGTACGCGAAATCATAAAATCAAGGAGTGTAACTCGAGCGCCCTACAATGCGTAAATTGCCTGAACCATAACAAGGTATACAAGAAGATTCTACCAGTTGATCATTTGGATAATTTTCCAAACTGTCCTGTGTTTCTCAATTATGTTCAAAGAAAGGGTGGATTATGGCTAACACTATAAAAAGTGTCTTGAAACTATGTCACTTAAATGTGCGTTCTCTAACAGCTCACTTTAATGATTTTGCCCCTCTTGTTCAATATAAGTTTGATGTTGTAGCAGTCACTGAAACATGGCTGCATTCCAGTATTGACAGCACTGTAGTCAGTATACTTGGGTATAATTTCTTCCGTAAGGACCGTGGGAGCAGAGGGGGTGGCATCGGTCTCTATGTTAAATTAGATATTAGCACTAATCTTATCCCAGTTGAGCTCGATGACTTTATAAATCCTCTTGAAATGTTATGCTATAAATTTAAACTGCACGGGTCCAGTATGTTAATTGTTGTTATATATAGGCCACCACATTGCTCTATACATCAAGCCATCCAGTGTTTAGAAAACCTTATCTCATTTTTCACTCCCCAATATGACAACATTATATTCTTGGGCGACATGAATGTCGACTTGCTTGCTCATAACAACATCCTCAGCAGCTGCTTTGATTCATTCAATTTCATTCAAGTCATTGATGAGCCTACACGTGTTACAGCCTTCAGTTCCACATTACTTGATCCAATATTTGTTAGTGACAATACTATCGTCAAAAGGTCAGGGACACTCAATGCAGACTCAATTAGTGATCATCGGCTCACATACTGTGATATTTCCGTTTGTTATAAAAAAATAGAGCCTAAATTTGTAACATATAGAAATCTTAATAGCATTGATATTCGAAGTTTTAAGACGCAGATTGCATCAATGCAGCTTAATGACATTTATTTCGTGAATGATGTGGATATTAAAGTCTCTATTTTTACTGGCCGTCTTCTTTATTTATTCGATCTCTACGCTCCGCTACGTACAGTACGTGTCACAAAACCTGCTGCGCCCTGGCTCACTCCTAACTTGAAAATGATTTTTCAACTCAGAGATGAGGCATTCGCTGTCTATCAGCATAACAGATCTGATCAGAATTGGGCCAGCCACAAAGATTTGAGAAATTATGCCCTTGCATCGCTTAGAAGAGAGAAAAAAGCATATATGTCAAGTTTCCGGAATCTTAACTCTAGTCAAGCTTGGAAACACCTGAGGAGGATGAATGTGGTAGCCCAGAAATTTTATTGATACTGTCTCTAACTATTATAGCGACAGACGCCATACACCGGATGCACCTCTCTTTGCTTTTAAGCTCCTTACTCAGCAAGACATCGTCAATATAATCTCTCACATTAAGTCTACGGCATGTGGCTCTGATGGTCTAACTTTAAATATGGTTTGCTTATGTTTGCCTGATACCATAGACCATATAACTCACATTATTAATGTCTGTCTCGAAACAGGTTACTTTCCTGCCAGTTGGAAAAATTGTATTATTATTCCAATAGCTAAAACTAATCATCCAGAACAATATTCGGATCTCAGGCCAATTACCTTATTATGCTTTCTATCAAAAATACTCGAAAGAGCTGTCTACTCACAACTAGTGGAGTTTTTCGAACAAAACCACTTATTTCCTCTACATCAGTCAGGTTTCAGAGCTGGTTACAGCACTACTTCGTCTTTATTACATCTTACTGATTCCATCATTCACAATTTAGATAATCACATCAACACCGTCTTGGTACTGTTAGATTTCTCGAAAGCCTTTGATATGGTCAATCACCAGATACTACTGAGTAAGTTATCTCATTATGGAATGTCAGATATAGTTCTAAGGTTCTTTGAGTCATACTTGCTAAATCGTCAACAAACAGTGAAAACTGATCAGGGAATTTCCTCCTCTGAGCCAGTTCCTTCAGGAGTTCCTCAGGGCTCAGAATTAGGTCCCTTACTATATCTGATTTATACGATCGATCTGCAAGACTGTTTAGTCCACTGTAGTATGCAAACTTATGCAGATGATACTCAGTTAGTGTTTGGTTTCGATCCATCAAAGGTTGATGAAGTTTCTTTGAAAGTTAATTTAGATTTGGCTAACATCGGTGATTACTGTAACAAACACTGCTTGAAGATCAATCCCAATAAAACTACTGCAATGTTGTACTGTTCGAAGAACTCCTACCGTGAAATGAAGCAGAGGATTTGTGTTTTTTGGATGAGACACTCATTCCTTTTGTGGATTACGCCAAGAATCTCGGTGTTACCCTTGATTTAAATATGAGATTCGATCGGCATGTCTCTTTCTTATCTAGAGTAACATATTTGCGTTTGAAACTCCTCTATTCCAATCGATACATCTTGAATTTTAAAATCCGAAAAAAGCTCGCTGAAAGTCTTGTGTTGTCTGTCATTTCTTACTCTCTTGTTCTGTATTACCCATGTTTAGACTACGTCCACAAAAGGAAACTTCAGAAAATTCAGAACAGCTATTGTAGGTTTATTTTTGGATTGCGCAAGTTTAGTCGCGTCTCAGATAAAATCAAAGAACTCAACTGGTTGCGAATTGATAAGTTATTTTTATATCTTCTGACCGTCTTCACGCATAAAGTTCTATTATCTAATAGACCAGCTTACCTCGTTAGCAAATTAGTTCACCGAGGTAGTTTTGTTACCAGAGCTCTTAGATTTAATGCTAATTTTAACATGCCTCCTCACAATACCTCGGTCTTTGAAAGAAGTTACACCTATAATGCTGTCAAGCATTACAATGCAGTCAACAGTGGCTATCGATCCAAACAGGTTGTTTCTTTCAAGAAATTAATAAAAAGTCAGCTGCTGGAGTCCATTTAGTTCAATTTTTCTTGTGCTCATGTGATTTTTTTTTGTTTTTTTTTTGTTTCAAATTTAAAACTCTCGCAATGCTATCTGCATTTATCTCGTGCAATCATTGTTGTCATTCTTATGAATTGTATTTTTTTTGTATGTTATTATTTTGTTTATGTGTGTAAGTATTCTTTTTTCCTGTTGTGGGGTTGAGTGTAAGAGTAGCCGTCTGGCTAAACTTCGCCTCACTGCAGTTAATAAAGGCATTAATATTATTATTATTATTATTATTATATTTTTATGAAGTAAAAGTAAAAGTAAAACTCATATTATTAGGTAGGTATATCTTTTATATGGGGGTGTCCGGTAAAAGGAGGTCAATCCGTTAACCACATATTCTTTGGGTGAAAATAATAGGTAATTTTTCATTCTGAGGTTTCCTGTTCAGAATACAGGGTGTTTTTACCAATAACTCAGGCATTTCTCAAAATATTGAAATAAAATTAATAACATATGTTTCTTTTATTGAAGCATTTCGCGAAAATTTGATTGAAAACAATGGAAAATGGCAATATAAAAGTTCTATTATTTCCACCCAAAGAGTATGTGCTTAAAGGATTGACCTCCTTTTACCGGACACCCTGTATATATAAAAAATGTTCTGATAAACATAAGAACATTATCATTGTACTTGAAACAGACAGTTCAAATAACGAAGGGTAACTAAAATGATATCAAGATTATGGCCGTACATAAACAGGATTTTTTTTGCAGTTTGTAACATTAGAAATTAGCTCGTGCTGTTCAGCAAGTACTTGGCATGAAGACGTGCTAGGTAGCGGATCGGCTAGTGCTTGAGATGTAGACGAGCTACATTATTAGGATTCAGTCGATGTTTCAGATAAAGGCGTGCAAGGTTACGGATCTGCTCGAATGGAGTTGTCGTTATGAACGTCGCTTTCATCTGAAATATGATCTTCTACTCGTATATGGTCACGACCCAAATTTTCTTGAAACATATTTGAATAGACTTCTAGCTGTTCCCCAGTTTCTGTATTCTTAATTTCTCCGCAAAGGAGAGATGCCAATGCTAGGCCTCTTTTTGGTTTAACGAGTCATATGGACATATTCCTTCGTAACAAGTTGTTTTTCGCAAATTGAACAAACATCAAATCTTCTGACCATTTATTAGAATCATTGTCATTCATCCACGCAGTTAACATACTCTGTACCTATGTCATGATTAGCTCTTTCTACTGAGCCTTGAGTTTGAGTATAACGAGGCTTTCCGTGCAGTATTTTAACATATTTCCACATAGTGCTTAGTTCAGATATATCTAGATTACTGAACTCTCTACCATTATCCGAATGCAATATGGCGGCAGCACCAAATGTTAAAGGAATTTGAAGAAGAGGATCTGCTACTTCTTCCGCTGACTTGGTT